AGGTTTAATACCTAATGATTTTTAAAGGTAATAAAATAAACAATTCAATTAAACTATAATATGTATTAATATTATTATAAAGTCCATAATCTTTCTTATCTTTTTTTTTTTGCTAAAATGTCTAGTATGTCTTCATGATTCAATTTTATTACTCAATGCACAACACTGTTAGTCTATTCGATCATTCATATTAACTATTTTTTTTTTTTTATTAGAAATAAGCCTCGGCTGTGGAGGCCATTGGCTGACATAGTTTACATTGTTAATGATAATTGTTGTATACTCTATTTACATTATTTACAAAAACATTACACATATTACAACATACTAGATTATAACTTATTAATTAGGTTGGTCTTGATTAAAAAGGATATTAACTATTATGTAATTAGTAAAAAATGCATAACTATTATCAATAATAATTTGGCTTGGAATTCGATGCACTTTGAAATGTTTTCCGAATCTATGCGACGCTCATTTTAAAACATTTTATCAGAATAAGAAGCCTTATTTTTTCGTTATTTGCTTTTTTTTGTCGATAATTTTAAAGATCATTTTTTCCAATCTTTAGAGAAATTTATGATGTTTACCACTAACCTCTCATAATTACACCTCTGTATAGAACCTACCTACTACCTATTTACTTTTTAATGTTATAAAAATATAAAATATAAATGTATTAAYATTTAATATTTTAAATTCTAATCAATAGGCAACCATACATTATTATATTTTCGAACGTATTCAAGTTTATAGGTACTAGATTGAATTTTGGTACCTATATGTTTTAATCAGTGGCGGATCCAGGATTTAATTTTGGGGGGGGGCATGTTTGGGAGAATTTCTTATATTATGATAATATAATAATAATATAAAATATATTTAATGATAATATTTCTTAAATTATAATATAAAATTAATAATAAAAAATAATAAAACCTAACTTATGCCAATGGGGGGGGGCGAGGCCCTTCGCCCCCCCTTAAATCCGCCACTGGTTTTAATACACCTACCTAACTATAACTAACACATCTTATAAAAACTACATATACCTTTTTTATAATTCTGAAGAACATTTCTTTTTACGTCTTAGTTTTTAAATTCATTACAATGTTGAACTAGCTATTGGCTATTGTATATTGATAAAGGTATTTTACTGACTACCTATTGAAGTTGTGTGTATTTATTAAATATTGTTCATTATAAATCAGTTAACATATCTATTAATCTATTAATGGCTATAAGGTATAATATAGATTTTACTGTTTTAGACTAATCGAGTCTACCTATTTTTTACAAACGAGATCCAAGAAAATATTTTATTCGTTTTTTAAATTTACTTCACAGTATTTCGTATAAATCAGAAACGTTGGTTGTAACTTGTAGTACCTATGAGAACACATGGTTAGGTTTAGGTATCTATTGTTTACCACGATTGTTAATATTCAATCTAAAACAATGCTATTTATTAGGAATTTATATCAATGTCTAGTGTCAT